TGAAATATTTTAATGCACTACAGAAAATGGTATATCAGAGTTGGAATTGACCTCTTCTCAGCATCGATGGATCCAATTTTAGGAGCTATTTAAAGCCGGAGTAAGTGTTCTAGGGGTTTTGATGCCATATATTGACCTCTCTTTTATCAACTCAAATGTTAAGGAGATCCCAAGCCTGAGACTTACTCTTCTAAAACCTTATGAGAAGTACTAGAGTCACTGAGATTCAGAGAGTGAAGATCAGGAATCTTTGCAATGCCTCATATATGCCTTCCCATATCCCGTACTACTACTACTACTACTAATAATACTACTAATAATAACAACAACAATAATAATAATGATGGTGGGTTATTTGCAATTTGGGACCTGTAGAAAATATGATTTTATTACTTGTTCATTCCTCTAGATAATTGCATCATAGCCCTGGTCCAAGTGCTAATACAATTTTTATTCTATATTTTCCTCTGGGAATGGATCTGTTTATCTGCATGGAATGCTACACTATCACGAATAGGTGTATGCACATCAGAATGTTGAAAAATTAAGTGCATGTTTTCACAGATACCTATGAGACTTAGAGAGAAATATTTAGATGAGTTCCAAAGGGAATATGGGGAATTCAACCTGTAATTTTACATAAGGGGTTAGGTCCAAATAAATGTCAGCTTTGAGTAGACATTCTAAAAAGGAGACTAACATTTTATATGGGGTTTCACCTAGGACATGAGGAGTGGTAAAAAGTAGTGCTAATTTCCTCTTGGCATTGCAAATATTTCACTTTTCTTCTCTCGACAGTAAAAGTCTTTGACTCTTCAAATAAGACAGGTATGTATTCTTGTTCTGATCAACATAGGAACAAAAAGCTGTACTGAAAACAGATGAAGCTTAAACACCAAGACACTAAGTTTCTTAACATTACTCTCTAGATTGGTTCTCTCCTTTTTCTAATCCTAGTCCTCTATATCTCCTACACATATACCCCTGAAGACAGGACAAGTGGATTTGCATCTGCATTAACATTGTGTAGTATTCAAAAACACAAAAACAAACACTGCATATTCTCACTTTTAAGTGGGAGTTTAACTAAGAATCTGCAAAGGCATAGAAAATAATATAGGGGACATTGGAGTCTCAGAAGGGGGAAGGGGAAGGGGTTGAAGGATGAGAAACACCTATTGGGAACAATGTGCACAGGTGGGGTACACTTAAAACCCAGACTTCTTGGCTACTATACAATACAGTCATGTAACCAAAAGCTACCTGTAATCCTTAACATTATTGAAATAGAAAACAAATAAGTAAATAAAATAAAATTTGTGTAGTTTTGATATTTAATTCAGGGAAGATTAAACTTTATTTGATTTAATAATTTCCTGGTTATATTTATTAAGCTGTCAATTTCTCACTGAGGATCAAAAGGAGGAGTATTGACTTCTGTTTAAGGGCATCAGGAATTGTTTCATGGAGATGTGCTTGAGCTGATAGTTGCTGATTAAACGTGGGAGCAGGTGAAAGAATTAAAAGAAACCAATGATTAGTATAGGAAATATAAAAGATATGTTGTATCATTTAAAAATATTTTGTAGAATTTCAAGATACATTTCCTAACAACTAGTGAGAAGTTTGTAAGGAATGTTGATGCGAATGACAGCAATAACAAAAATAGTATTAATAGCATAGTCATTTCATACTTCCTATGCTAAATAAACATTTTTAAACTGAATTCTTGTGAGCATACTGCTTTCAAACTATGCTTTCAAGTATTACAATCTTAATCACTTAAATATAAACTTTTTCCTGTACACAGAGTACAAATCCCAGGTAGGTACATATGACCTTCATCTTGGGAAGTATAAAACACTACAACTACATAGTATTTTTATATTTAATTTTAAAAACTTTAGTTTGCATATTAATGTGTTAATTAGGAGTTAGAAAGACCTAAGTTAAAGAAAACAAGATAATAAAAGTCTGGCTATATAAGGAAGCAAAGAAGACTGAAAACAGTAGTTGGGGAGGTGGAGTCAAGGGGAGAGAGAGACATTCAGATGTTGAATCTATATGAGTTAGCCACTGAAACAATCAGATTTTTTTAAATGGGAAAATATCCAGTTTTGTTTTGCTTTTCTAGTAAAATTTGGTATTTTGCAGTAACTTACAAAATTAGAAATAATAGTTATTTTCATAGAAGTCCTAAACCCTCTGGTATATATTCATTGTGTTACTGATATCTCTGGATTGAAAAGCCCTAATCACACCAAAGAGAAATCAGTTTTTTACTTCTTCCTCTTGAATTAGAAGGGTTCCTCACCTGTTACTTCGTTATTTCAATGAAGTCACCTATTATACATCATCAGAAATGGAATCTCATTGCAGAAATGATAATTATCTTTCAGAAATTGCTATTTCTGAACCTCGGACATAAAATATCCTACACCTTTTTAAACCATTATCCTTATTAATACTAAAAATTTAGATAAAAAATTAATGTCGAAACCAGGAGACTTATTTACCAAAAGAAATTTATTGCCAATAAATCCACTGCCAAGAGAGAAAGATTCTGACAAAATTAGTTAGATGAAACATCAAGACAGATCCTAAGGTGTAATAAGATATCTTTTTTTTTTTTTTTTTGAGTTGGAGTCTCACTCTGTCGCCCAGACTGGAGTGCAGTGGCAAGCTCCTGGCCACTGCAGCCTCGACCTGCTGGGCTCCGGCGATCCTTCCACCTCAGCCTTCCAAGGAGCTGGAATTACAGGAGTGCGCGACCACACCTGACTAATTTTTTATTTATTGTAGAGATGAGGTCTCTCCAAGTTGCCCAGGTGAATTTCTAACCCGCGGGTTCAGGCAATCCACTTGCCTCGGGCTCCCAAAGTGCTGGGATTACAGGCTGAGCCACCAAGCCCAGCCATAAGATATCTTTTAAAATAATAGATATAGGAAGACAATGAATCGGAGGCCAAATTGCTCAGTGAATATGGAAAAGCAAAGGGTGGATTGAGCAAAAGATAATGGAACTGGATGGCATGAGAACAAGGGAGATTGGACTATTTACATGAGGAAACTATGCTAAAGAGAATACTCTCTTGAACTATGAGAATTTTGGCTTCACATTCAGGAACTCTACAGGAGGTGGAACTACAGGTGCACACAACCATCCCCAGCTAATTTTAAAAATCAGAACTAGTTAATGAGAGATACATAGCCAGGGAAATTGACATGTTTAACAGCCAGCAAGGAACAGTCACTCTTTCTCAGGTTGGGTTAGTGAGAATTTTGAGACATTTTACCACTTTCTTTTGAACTGAATAATCATTCGATTCTTTGTTATGAATCATATTAATAGGAAATATATAAAAACAGGTTATTTTTAATTTAAAAAGTATATACTAAGTTAAATTTCATTGAATAAGTATAATTATCTATTTAATATTTTATATTGAATTTAAGCTTGATTATTCCTTGTGTTAATAATTTCTGATGTATTTATAAAATAATATTAAGACCAATTTTTTAATACACATTTTTAAATAAAGAAAATTATCAGTTTTTGATGATAGAAAATGTTCCTGAAAAAAACAAAACCTGAATAGCAACATTTACTTTTTAGATATTATTTTATGAAGTAAAATTTTTCCAAGCTTAGAAGTAGAAATTCTAGCCCGGCATGGCTGGCTCTTTCCCTTCTTAAAGTGGAATAGAACTACACATGAATACAGGGAGGTGAGAGAGAATCCTTGGTAGCCATTGGAGCCTGGGATATAATTATAGTAAGAGGAAAGAGGGAATTATGTGTGTGTGTGTACCTGGTGGGCTGGTGGTAAAATATAGCATCCTAGTTGGGCATGACTTGCCTGTAATCCAAGCACTTTGAGAGGTGGAGGCAAGAGGATTGCCTGAGCCCAGGGGTTTCACACCAACCTGGGCAACTTCTCTCTACAATAAATCAAAACATTAGCTGGGCATGGTTGCATGCACCTGTAGTTTCAGCTGCTTGGAAGGCTGAGGTGGAAGGATTGCCTGAATCCAGCAGGTCAAGGCTGTGGTGACTGTGAGCATGCCACTGCACCCTAGCCTGAGCAACAGAGTGAGACTCTAACTTAAAAAAAAAAAAGAGTAGAAATTCTAAATTTTTTAAAGCAGTATTAATCCATTTAAAAAATTGGGTTTGTGTCATTTTTATTGCTTATATCTAAAATCTCTCATTTTTCCAGATGTCCATAGAAAATTTGCTTAGCATTCATTTCTGGAATAAAAACAAGGTCTAAATACCGTGTCATACTACATCTATATGTATAACATATGCAGTTTGTTTTTAAATGACACTGGTAATGTGGTATTGTGCCAGTAGATCTATTGTTTCCTTGAGAGTCAGACTACAACTTTACAATTTCTTATTTATACAGTGCTTAATATACAACTCCTCAAATAGTGAGTACTTTTTTCGATTTCTTCTGCCTGACCTCTTGACTGGCTAAATAAATACTTTTGGGTAAGGAACCGAAAAAGAAGATATAGGTTATATATCAGTTAAATACCTCGATCCTATCATCACAGACAACCAAGCTGGTATTCTATGGGATAGTTCTTAACAGACAGTTCTCATCAGATAATACAGAAACCTCATGTCTTTACATTACTAGAAATGTGCCTTCTCTTGACAGTGAGTTCCTGTATGCCTGTTAGCACATATTTATGTATATGTTTGTGTATGTGTGTAACAGATAGAGAGAGAGAGAGAGAGAGAGAGAGAAAAGGAGAGAGGCTGAAGTCTGAGATAAACCATACTGCATGCTATTCAGGGAAATCTGTATATGCATTCCTGGATCTACTTAATTGACTCAGCAGTAATTGGGTATGTCAGAAAAATGCCATGTGAAACCACTTTAAATCTGTGATTGTATAAACTAGGTGGAAACAGGAAACGAAGGAGAGATTCCCAACACATACTGCCATCCTGAATTAGAAGCTTCCAGCTAGAGCTCTAAGACAACATGGTCAAACTCAATGGCACAGTCTTCATGCCTTTGATGCTCACACTGATTGGAATCCCTGGCTTGGAGTCTGTGCAGTTCTGGATTGGGATTCCATTCTGTGCCATGTACATCATTGCTCTATTTGGGAATTCCCTGCTCTTGGTCATCATTAAAACTGAGCGCAGCCTCCATGAGCCCATGTATCTCTTCCTGGCAATGCTTGGAGCTACAGACATTGCTCTTAGTACCTGCATCCTACCCAAAATGCTGGGAATATTCTGGTTTCATCTGCCACAGATGTACTTTGATGCCTGTCTCTTGCAGATGTGGCTCATCCACACATTGCAGTGTATTGAGTCAGGTATTTTGCTGGCCATGGCCCTGGATCGATACGTGGCCATCTGTGATCCTCTGAGACATGCAACCATTTTTACCCACCAAGTTCTCACTCAGATTGTGGTTGGGGTGACACTCCGAGCAGCGTTCCTTGTAGCTCCATGTCTCATCCTCATCAAATGCCGGCTGAAATTCTATAGGACCACCGTAGTCTCTCACTCATATTGTGAGCACATGGCCATTGTGAAGTTGGCAGCAGAAGATGTTCGAATTAACAAGATCTATGGTCTGTTTGTGGCTTTCAGTGTACTTGGACTTGACATAATCTTCATCACACTCTCCTACTTTCAGATATTTATAACTGTCTTCAATCTGCCACAAAAGGAAGCTAGGCTCAAGGCCTTTAACACGTGCATTGCCCACATTTGTGTCTTCCTCGAGTTTTATATGCTGGCTTTCTTCTCCTTCTTTACACACAGGTTTGGGTTCCACATTCCATCTTACATTCACATTCTTCTTTCCAACTTTTACCTACTTGTCCCACCTTTACTCAATCCTATTGTTTATGGGGTAAAGACCAAACAAATTCGAGATCGATTATTCAAGATTTTCCTCTGAGAATGCTTCTTGATTTCTCATGTGTCTCACTTTATTTACTTCAAAATAAAATATTATTTAACAAAAGGTCACTCTGGCAAATAGATTTGTTTTGTGACAATCTGCACTTTTCAAGTTCATCATGTGCTGAAACAGAAAGTTTTATTTTTGCATTTAAGACAGTCAGATTTGACTCCTATTTAAATAAGTTTGCTTGTTGTGGTTGCAGAATTATTAGAAACACACAAAACTGATCATGTTTAATCAACAAATGATCTAATAGCGAAGCTATTTTATCGTTTATTAGCTATCAATACTAAATATTTTTAAAAGGATCACCAAATCTTAATATTTAATCCCTATTTAAAACTATCAAGTATCATTGATGCCACTGCATAAAAAATTAAGCCTGAATTTTATGAAACCAAATCACCTGTATAATCATATGTAATTTCTCTAACCATCACCATTATACTCACCATTAAAGTCCTAAAGTGATTTATTACATGCTTTTCAATTAGGCCATAGTGAAGAATGAAGTTTTTAAGTTATGGATAAAAATGTAGCCATAATTATTTTCTTTTCCGTAGCATATTTTATATAGCTTACAACAGAGACATATATAACAAAATTACTAACATAAAATTGAACCCTATAAAATTTGAACAGAGGGCAAAGAAAGTAAATGTGAAATGATTAGCAGTTAACATACTTATTTTTTACTATGATTTTATATAGGAGTAAAAAAAATACTATATAAGAAAGTTTTATAAAAATAGTTCAAAGAAGAAAGAAGTTCTTTTTTTATTTATTCATGTTCAGGGTGTTGTTATTCTTGCATTTTCCCAGAACAAAGATCCAACATAATTATCACACTTGTCTATGTATATAAGAAATGTACACAAGTGTTTTTAAGACTTTCATCTTACAGTGTGTTTAGCTGTAAAATTTTTTTATGGACTAGAGAAAAATAGCTTCTGGAGAAATGTTACTAGGTTTAAACATAAAGGGCAGGTGCAGACTGATAAAGACAACGATACAGAGAGATTTGTGACTAAAACCTAATGATTCAGCCAATTGGTGGCAAAGGAAAGAACTTAGAATATTTAAAGTGTGGATCTGGTGGCTGTTGGTTGTCTTGTGTGCTACTTTCTGTCTAGTATAGCACACATTGTGTCCTTTGACGTGAGCATAACATGTCCACATTATGAGTGGTTGGTCAAACGTCGTGCCAAATTCTTAAGCACAAAAAATTTATCAGTTTCATTATATCAATGTGTTCAAAGTTTGGACTAGATTTTTCATGTAGAGCCATTAGTCATCATTGTATGACCTTTCAATATTAATCGTGTGAGGTTTCACCATTAATTTTGTACTGTCTTTCAATTCCCGTGATGATCAATGACCTTCTCAGTGCCAAAAGCCAGAATTTTTTAAATTGGGCATCTATATTTCCTTATCAGACATTATTCTTTCCAAGAATTGTTTCTACTTCTCTACTTTGTTTTTACTCTTTGTCATTATATTATCTGTATAGTTTCAAAATTATGTTGCACATAAAATGCATTTATTGCTTAGGGTTTACACTGTGTATACAGTGATTTAATGTCACCACTTAGTGACATTTAACTTTGTGTCTTATGGTGTCACTTAATAAATATTTATTGACTTGAACTCTCAGTCTTTTGCTTATTTCAGTGACCTCCTAAGAAATTTTGACAGTTGTAATAGTTGGGGACAAATATGCAACAAAATCAAATTATGTTAATGATTACTTGAGAAAATTGAACTTTCTAGTACAAATATCCACGTGACACCTGTAAATAGAAACTAGTATAAGAATACAATATAATTCATCTTCATATCTTCAAATACTGGTAAGTAATAATAAAGAATAATGTTTTATTGAATAAATAGATTAATGAAATTCCATTGTTAACTTAATTGCAGTCTTACACCAATCCTATAATGTACTTAATGTATGGTAGAGATTATAAAACTGTAAATTGAGCTTAATAGAAAGTCTGTTCTTCATCTTGGGAGTGTAAATTATATGTGTGTGTGTGTACGTATGTGTGTGTATATATATATATGTATACACACACATACATAAAACCTGCAGTTTGGAATTTAAATCGAAAATGTCAGTGAATACTCAAGGTTTCCATTATATTTTAATATATAGAAAAATAAATATAGATATAATTTATGTAATGTGGGCATGGGCTATAAATATGTGCATATGTGGTTGTATTGCATAGCTCCTTGTTTTCTGAAGTGGCCTTTAAGTAATGATTCTCCGTTATCAATAAATCTAAAAGATGCCTTCAATCTTCTGCCAAGCAAATTCTAAGCATCTTTACAAGGTAGAAAATGAAATTCTATGATTTTACTATTTACTAAATTCCATTTCAATAATCTTGAGTTTATCATATGAGCTACTTTTCTTTTTAGATGTAAAGCCTTAATAGTGTGCATTTTCTTTTTATCTATATTATTCCCCAACTACAGAGAATTTGCCTTAAAAGGAGGAGCAAGTCTGATTAATCTGTGTTTTTCTAATGCTGTAGAAGCCGAAGTTAAAAGTCTCCTTGAAGATCTCATAGTTCCTTACTGTCCTTTGATGATGTACATGACCAGAATTTGCAACAAGATCTTATCAACTCCAATTCCTCAAAATCCACCATATTGTTAAGCTATATCAAAGACCTAGGACTAAACTTGCTGATATGACAACTGCACTTTGTTCTTCAACTGAATTTCATATTTGTATCTAAGGACTTTAATTTGACACCACTTTGCAAATTACAGTTACACTAATTTCCATTTAAAATTTTTACTTTTATTCATTTTAAAATGCTATGTTACTTGAATATTCTTACAAAACTTTATTTTTATAGTAATTTTTAAACTTTCATAATATTCTGTCTGAATATACTGATTAATTCAAAACACAACCTAAAGTTTTATTTTCCCAAATATCTGGTTCTTTACAAATAATGACTTGGTGAGTTTTTGATGACACTGAGTAACTATAAGTTGGATAATTTTAATGGGAAATGTTTTATTGAACATTTAAAATATTTTACTTGATATTTGAATAAGGTAATAAGCATAAAGTAAGCAAAGGCATTATATGGTATTATATAAAAAGTCCAAGAGGGAGTTAAATTTTTACCCATGAAATAGAATATCATTTTCAGTTGCATATACTATCATGGGAAAAAAACTGATACAAAAAAATGTGCTCTTAGCTGAGATTCATTTGGCAGATTAAGTACTTTGTAGATGTTTACATTAAAGTAGCCACATAAGTCTTACAGTCTGTTTTCTATTATACCCACATATTTTGTTTAGTCAATTCAAATCTATGCTCAAGAGTCATATATATATATATATATATATATACACACACACTCACATATATACATACATACATATATATATTTATACCCACATACATATATATATGACACATATATGGCATTTTAAAGTTAATTTGGTTTTTATTACAAGCCATTTGGATAAGTAGTATGTAAAGTGTGAAATAACTGTGATTGTGTCATAAAAATCCAAGTTTTTAGGGCAAAAAAGTCTTAAAAAAATTTAAGAATAAAGGCATATTAAGTATTTTTGCTGACTACATGAAACTAGAAATCAATAACAGTATGACTCTTAGAGAATTCACAGATATGGGGAAATTAAAGAACATATGACTCAACAAGCAATGAGTCAAAGAAGAAATGAAAATAAAAATTATAAAATATCTTGAGATAAATGAATATGGAAACATAAGTAAGGAAGAAGCAAAAGCAGTCCTGGAGACAAATTTATAGCAATAAACATCTATGTTTAAAAAAAATCTCAAATAAACAACAAGATGTTATACTTTATAGAGTTAGGAAAAGGAGAGCAAAACATGCCCAAGCATAGGAAATGGTAATAAATAATAATGATCAAAGAAGTAATAAACAAAATTGAGACTAAAAACCAAAAGATAAAATCAAAAATTTTGCTTAAATTAAAAAAAAATGTTTATTTTTAAAAGATCCTTGTCATAAAGAGTGATTTTTGTCTTTTTAAACATATAAAGTCAACAAATTCTTAGCTAGATAGATTATCAAAGACAAGAAAGAGAAGACTCAAATAAAGTAAATCACAAGTGAAAGAGGACACATTACAAATGATACAACAGCAATACAAAAGATCATAAGAAACTGCTATGAACAACTATACATGAAATAGTTGGATCAACTAGAATAAATGAATGAATTCCTAGAGTTAGACAATCTACCAAGATGGTTCCAGGAAGACATTAAAAAATCTGAATAGACTAATTATGAGTAAGAGGATTGACTCAGTTATAAAAAATCTCTCATCACAGTAAAGCTCAAGATCTGATGGCATCAGTGCTGAATTCTATCAAACTAAAAAAACAAAAAAGGAAAAAACAAACAAAACAAAAATGTTAATCTTTCTCAAACTCATTTTAAAATTTGAAGTGGAAGGAATATGTCCAAATTCAGTTTATGAGGTCAGCATTACCCTGAATTATGCCAAAGCTAGAGAAGAACATTACAAGAAAAGAAAAAAAACAGATCTATAGCCCTGATTTTAAAAAAGATGCAAAAATTCTGCACAAAATACTAAGAAACTAATTCAATAGCACATTAAAAAGATTATTCCCCACAAGATTGGTTCAACACATGTAAATCAATAAATGTGATACACCATATCAACACAGTAAAGAACAAAAATTTTATGATCATTTCAATAGATGGAGGAAAAGCATTTGACAAAATTCTCCATCTGTTCATGGTAAATCTCTTATAAAACTGGTATAGAAGAAATAGGCCTCAATAAAATAAAGGCCATACATGGTAGTCACATCATACTAATCTGTGAAAAGTTACAAGATTTTCTTTTAAGATCCAGAATAAGATACAAATGCTCTCTCACCACTTCTATTCAAAATATTACTAGAAGTTCTAGTATGGAAAAATAGACAATAAAACAAATAA